GCTCTTCCAGGCAGAGCGAGTGGATGGAATTCCAAGTCAAATGCTCCTGCTGTCTGACCAGTAGGTGGCAGTACTGAACAACCCTGCACGTCTCTCCCATCCGGGCCCAGGTTTCAGCCCTACCTTTGGGGCCCCAAACCCACTCGTGCTGGGAGTGGCCATAGGCAAATACAATGGAACAGGCTTGCGTTTCCAAGTACATTCCCCAGAGGATTTTTTATTTCCACCACAAGCTCTGGACCCAACACGTGTCTCCTGAAGGGGCCTTACCTCATTGGAATGTGTCCTGTTCTGGTGCTTGGCGCGATCAGAGGCATTCGAGAAAGCCTTGTTGCAACCTTCGTGCTCACAGACGTACGGTTTCTCTCCAGTGTGAGATCTCAAGTGTGTTTTCAAGTTTTCGAGTCTCGAGTAGGCCTTTGTGCAACCTTCAAACTGAGGAGAAAACAGGTAAATCTGGATGATCCCACACAATGACGGCTGATGTATCCCACTCGCTCCGCGTGGATGAAAGACAGGGACGTTTGGGGGACTTCCCTGGTGGCGCAGTGGTTAAGAGTCCGCCTGCCAATGCAGGGGACATGGGTTCGAGCCCTGGTCCGGGAAGATCCCACATGCCCTGGAGCAACTAAGCCCGTGCGCCACAACTACTGAGCCTGCGCTCTAGAGTCCGCGAGCCACAACTACTGAAGCCTGCGCGCCAAGAGCCCGTGCTCCACAGCAAGAGAAGCCACCGCAATGAGAAGCCTGCGCACTGCAACGAAGAGTAGCCCCTGCTCGCCACAACTAGAGAAAGCCTGCGCGCAGCAACGAAGAGCCAACACAGCCAAATATTAATTAATTAATTAATTAAAGAAAAAAGACGGGGACGTTTGGAGAGTTGGCAGCTTTTCAAAACCAATGAACAAAGGTCCAGTAAACTCTGCTTTTATTGGGATTCAGATGGGGCTCAGGGCCGTTCGAGAGAAAGCGTTTTCAGGGCTAAGTAAAAATCCTGGACTTTTTTTTCTTTTTAAAGGCCACTCAATGTGGACAATGGGTTTCATTATCTGCTCAGGGATCTCCTTGAATTCCCCCTGATTTCAGATTCAGCACAAAGTTCATTAATATGGCTTTGTGTGCCTACAAAGGCACGGAATTTGATCCTGTTTGTAAAGGGCCTTTAAGATGTAAAGTACCAGGGCTGAGCCTTGCCTGGCAGGCACCTTAGTGAAAGAAGCCTTAGCCTCGCAGGAATCCCAACCCCTCAGAGGTCTGTACTGGGCCATGGGGACAGACGAGGAGGGAGAGGAAAAACTCTAAAGCCATAAGGGTTATAGTTTTAAAAAGTCAACTTAAGTTTTTCAAGTCAAAACTGGCCCCTCCCCGTGCTCCCCAAGGCTCTGGTGTGACAGGCAGTGGTGCTGGGGCAGGCCCAGTGGCCCGGTGCTCACTCCCAGTGCCGGGCGGCACGTCCCCACTGCCACCTGCCTGCCTGCCACTCTGCAGAGCTGGGCTGTCTGACTCAGTTGCTGTTAGCCACGTGGGGCTATTTAAATTTAAAATATTAAGTTAAAATTTAAAAATCAGTTCTGTGGTTGCTCTAGTCACATCTCAAATGCACATGTGTCTCATGGCCACCATGTTGGACGGGGCGGGTCTAGATCAATTCTTTCCAGCATCCCCCAAAGCTGTCAGCATCCGTTCTCCATTTCTCACCTCCCCTCCGTTTCGGAAACCCCTCTCAAAACCCCGGGAGTTTATCACAAACAGCACTCCAAGCCTCTTCCCCCACCACTCATCACCTCGAACGGCCCTTGGAGTACAAGGAAGGGCCCACAGGTGCAAGACTCCCCTAAGTGGACAGCTGGCCCCCGCCCCTTCGGTACTCACAGTGCATTTGTGAGGCTTCTCCCCCGTGTGCCTGCGCATGTGCACTACCAACATGTACTGGGCTTTGAAGGGTTTCTGTTCTCTCGAGCAATCTAGCCACCGGCACACGAACTCCTTCTTTTCTCCATGGATATGGTCGTTATTTATATGCTGGAGTTTGGAAAAAGAAAGAGAGAAATAAAATGGAAATGTACTACTCTTTTCTGAAGGCAAAAGAACGGAGTGCCCCAAATCCCCCAACCTTAAGTCCTAAAGACTCCACGGTACCTTCACTATACTGCAAACCTTTACTATACCTTTACTATATTTAGGATGTTTCTTAAGTAAATTTGCTCTTACTGACTGTGGAGGGATACTTCCAAACTTATAGGAGTGACCCGGTTTGCAAGAAGCCTGGTGTCCCAGAAAAAGTCCTTCAAGGGCATCAGAAGAGCAGAAACGGGGTGAGACACCCACGTCCTCTCTGGGCCTCTATATCTTTCATCGGCCAAGTCGGAGTCAAGGTGAACTGACAACAGAGGTGACCTCCAGCTCTCAGTCCCTCCAGGCCTTGGGTAGCACCTTGGGTTAGTGCTGTGGCTCAAGACTGCAGAAAGGGCATACACACACACACACACACACACACACACACACACACACACACGTCTATAACAAGGACCAAGAAAAACCAAAGCACTTTTTCAAACGACACTTTAGTTCCAATTAGTGGGCTCACTCCTTTGATAAGAATCACAGAGAAATGTCCTTGATGCTGAAGGTGAAGGCCAGGTGATGGTCAACAAAACGCTTAGTGTCTGAGGGTCTTTGCTGTCCTCATACACAAAATAAAGGAATGGATTCCCTAGTTTCTAAGGTTCTTCCCAGCTCTAGAATTCTGTTAATTTGGTTTTTAAAATGAAGATGAATTTCCCCGAATTCCAATTCAAAGTTGTAGGATCATTCTTTAATAGAGTTCCTTGGATTCATACATCAAATGTCCTACAACTAGGAGACACGTGAAATCTACAGCAGCGCCAGAGGAACAGGTGTTTCTTAATCTGGACCAAATTCAAGTCTACTCCAGTAAGATGAGTCTATGATTTTAATGTCCAGTCACGGATGACGGAGGAAGTTTGTGCCCTAGGTTGATCCTGTTGTTTTTATTCTCTGGTCACTCTATACTTTATTTGCCTTAATTCAAGGCCTTTGTGAGTCCTTTCTCCCACATACGTGGAAACACATCACTAAAAAATGTGTGCAATGAGAGAAACCTCCTCTGGGTTCCGTGAGCCCCGTAACAGTGACATGACGTTTAATTACTTTCCTGCGTAGGCTCTGGTTCCTAACTGAGTGATCTCTGGGGAGCTGGTGGTAAAATTCCACCATCACTCGACCTTTCTCAGTTATTCCACTAGGCAGCTGGCTGCCGCAGGAAAAAAAAAAAAAAAAAAAAAAAAAGGCAGTCTGTTGTGCTGTTTGGGGAGTTTAAAACTGGATGCGGGCAGAGAAAAGCAATTGCTGTGTGCTCGCCTCTCCTAGAACAGCTCTCAGAAAGCCCGAGAAACAGGGGAGAGTGGGTGACACAGCCCAGGGCACAGGCAGACAACTAGGACCCTTTCAGGAGCTCTGAACACAACGAGGAAGCCACACAGGATCGCTCAGGTTCACGACAGCATCCCAACCCCTGGCAGACAGATGTGTGTTTCTTATAGAAAGCCAACTGCCTCAGTATGAGTGTTTCTTAAAAGTGATGCTGGAAATAAGTTCATCTGCATCATTTTTCTAGGTTCCACATATAAGTGATATTATACAATATTTGTTTTTCTCTTTCTGACTTACTTCACTCTGTCCAACAGCCTAGAGACACAGACATAGAGAACAAACATGGATACCAAGGGGGGAAGGGAGGGTGGGAGGAACTGGGAGATTGGGACTGACATACATACACTACTATATATAAAACAGATAACTGATGAGAACCTACTGTATAGCACAGGGAACTCTACTCAGTGCTCTGTGGTGACCTAGATGGGAAGGAAACCCCCAAAAAAGAGGGGATCTATGTATACGTATAGCTGACTCACTTTGCTGTACAGCAGAAACTAACACAACATCGTAAAGCAACTATACTCCAATAAAAATTTTTTTAAAACGTGGTGCAGGGGGCTTCCCTGGTGGCGCAGTGGTTGAGAGTCCGCCTGCCGACGCAGGAGACACGGGTTCGTGCCGCGGTCCGGGAAGATCCCACGTGCCGCGGAGCGGCTGGGCCCGTGAGCCATGGCCGCTGAGCCTGCGCGGCCGGAGCCTGTGCTCCGCAACGGGAGAGGCCACAACAGTGAGAGGCCCGCATACCGCAAAAAAACCCAAAACAACAACAACAACAACAACAAACAAAAACATGGTGCAGGGGCACAAACGTGGATGAAGAGAACAGATGTGCCGGCCAGGGGATAACATGCCATCTTTAAATTTATGCTTCAAGAACATGTCTGCATCTGTTCACATCACCCAGGATTGTCCCAGATGGGTGCTGGAGCCCAGTCTTTAAGCCCACATGATACAGACAGGTTCTATGAATTCTCCTTTCCAGGGAAAGCAATGAATGATCACACAAGTCCACTGCATACAAATTGCTCTTGGTTCAGTTTTTTTCCAAGTTATTAGGCATCAAGCTTCCTGGATGAATAGGCATGAAAAGAAAATGAAGGAAGGGAGGGGGGGAGGGAGGACGGAAAGAAGGAGGTAGGCAAAGTTAAAACTGGAAAACGGTCTGGGAATTTGGGCTGAACCTGCTCCTTGAGTCGCGATCTACACCCTTCGGTTTCATATTCTCAGCAACTGACAGTGGCCCTGGTACTTGGCGGGTCCTCCGTAAATATCTGTTGGATTGATTGGCTCACGTGAGAAACTGAACTTTCTCTGGAACAGAGAAATTATACTTGATGCTTTTGCCTAGCTTACTTCAAATGCGTTTCATCCAGTATCCGTACAGTAAGATATTAATGTAGGTGTTATATTACTTTAAAATAAGATACCATCAAGAATTCAAAAGGACTTGAATGATTCGAATGATAGCCCAATGAGAACCCCGTCTTGCCGGGGAGAATAAAACAAATACTCAGCGACTGCCAACATTTCATTCATCGCCCAGTGGTACTGGGTACCACTCCACACCAGGCCCTGTGCTGGGGAATCTGACAGACCTGAGTCCTGCCCTGAGGAAATTACAGGGCAGGGACACGGAATTACTGGAGGGACACGGAATTATTACTGGAGGGACACAGATAATGGCTTAAAGGGCTATAGTACAATTATAGTTGTGATCAGCGTTTTGAAGGGAAATAAGAGGGTTTTAGAGAAACAATTAACAGGAGGTCCCAAATCCGTGGGGAACACCAGAGACCAGGGTTGGCTTCTCCAATGAAGTGGCATTTAAAGTAGGACCTGAAGGATGAGTGGAGACTTGGCAGGTGTGCAGGTAAGGGTGTGGGTGGGGAGAAAGATGGACGGAAGCCCCTGGAGGAGGGCAGAATTTAGTGCCTTTGAGGAACAGGGTGAGGAACACGCAGGGCAGGAGAGGATGGGCCAGGCTGACGCAGGAGGCTCCCAGCACTGCCACTGCTTGGTGTAGTACGAAGGCACGAGTTTCCAGGGGTCCAGTGGCTACCAGTGAGGTAGCCAAGCTTGGGCCCACCTAAAATGCAGAGTGCTGGGTCAGGTGTCCAGCAGGGAGACTGTAGGATAGACCCCTGCAGAGAACTCAAGTGCACCCCACCAGAAAGCCAGCACTTGCACGCCTGCCCCAAGCGACCTGGAGTCACTCAGGGGAACGGGGATGACCGACACGGAAGCACCACCGGCAGCTAGTGAAGCAACGGACCCTGTCTCTTGCCTTCCCCATCATGCTGGAGGGAGCCAGACTCTAGGAGGAGAGGGAAGGGGTCCCCTCCTGGATGGGTGGCATGGTAGGGGAAGAAGAAACAGCCTGCCAGCCCCCCGGAGCTGTGAGCCTGGCTGGTATATGGAGGGGAGGCTCTGAGTGGATAGCAGGTTAGAGGTTTAAATCGGATGGGACTTTAGTAACCAAAAGTGGCTGAGACGTTGTAGGAGCTGCCGACCAGGGTGTTGAGGTATCTGCCACGGAGCTGGGAGGGGAGAGCTGACAACAGGCTGGTGAGGCCAGTGACTGCAAAGTGCAAACCATTTCAGATTAATACCTGGCCAAGCTGCATCGGCCTTGGCCTCTGGGACAATATCTGAAAATCCCAGTGGCGGGAATCCAGTGCCCATCAGTAAACACAGCATCCCGTCTTGTCTCCATGTGGGGAGGGACAGGCAAGCTTCTCGGGACCGTGGAAGCAACCTCACTTTCAGAAAGGTTAGCACCTTGGGAATTTTTCCTTTCTGCCCCGTAGAGTAGACCTAAGGCCTGTCTAATATGCTTTTGTAATTCTCTGAAACCACTCTTGAGGGCCAACTTGGATTGAGATTACAAGTTATTTTTCTTTAAATGAGATTCTGTGACCTCAGCCAGCAGGGAACAGGTCCACCTTCCTTGTCTTTAGGGTCCAAATACTGAGCACAGATAGAATCACTTCAAAGAAACACAGAAATCTTTCTGCTTATTTAGGTTATTTATTTATTCATGAAAATATTTACTTTATATTGGGGTATAGCTGATTGACAATGTTGTGATAGTTTCAGGTGTACAGCAAAGTGATTCAGTTATGTACATACATGGATCTATTCTTTTTCAAATTCTTTTCCCATTTAGGTTATGACAGAATATTGAACAGAGTGCCCTGTGCTATACAGTAGGTCCTTGCTGGTTACCTATTTTAAATATAGTAAGTAGTATGTATATGTCATTTTGCATCTTTGAGCTTAAAACATTTCCCGAAGCTATATTTCAGGTGAAATTTAAAATTCTAAGAAATCATAGATTTTACACGTCCAGATATCGTAAATATTTACTCTGCTAAAAAAGCTGCTTTGGCCTCTGCAGTGGGGTGCTCATGGAGGGATCATCTTAGGGCAGATCTTATAAAACATGAGCTTGGAGATGGGGGGGGTGGGTGCATTGGAAGATGCCCCCCAGACCAAGTTGTGACAAGCTGTGTACCTTTGGACAATTCACCTATTCGGGCCTTAATTTTTCTCGTCTGTAAAAT